GAGTACAGGGATTTTTGAAAAAAAACATTTTCTCAGAATTATCCACAACATATATAAATCAACTCAGTTTTTAACGCTGATTCTGAATCTGTTATTAATTTTGAAAAAAATTGTAGTTTTCTAACGAAACATTGACTGGAAAAGGTCTCAACATACACAAAAACTGCATGTAGAAACCAAATTGCCTAGATATGTCTCAGATGACCAGCAGTTTGGGGGTTTCTCAAATGCCTGGTTTTGTAGCTAGTCAAAAAGACTATCGAAAGGTAAAAACCCGAACTCGATAGCTATTACTATTGATGATTTATTATTAAAAAAATTGCTTATCCCTTTTCACTTTTTATTTTTCTTCGTCAGAGTGATTATCTTAAAATAAAATTATTTAACCATACAACAGATAATGATGAATATTTAAATAATGAAAGACAATGTTTAATTAAAATGTTTGCTGTAAGTTTAGAAATAAAATTTTGTTTTAAAAATGTTTGTTTTTTTGTGTACTCAAAAAGTGAGTACACTCTAGAATTGGTCAGTGTGTCCGTCCGGCCGTCCGTTTACACGATAACTTTTGAAAGGAGAGTCAGATCGCGATGAAATTTTCTACACATTTCAGTCTTAACAATATCTCGGTCGAGTTCGAAGATGAGAAGGATTGGCCGAGCCCTTCTTGAGTTATTGTAAAAATAGTCATTTTCCCCTATGCTTTCCTATGTAAAGATCGACCTATCCTCACTTTCGTAAAAAACTTTTCCTATCATAGACAAATAAAAATCCAACTATTTCTAGGATTAATCATCTGTCTCATTCACTTTTTGAAGTACACATAACTCTCGGATTTAAATCCGAGGTTTCCGCATTTATTTTAAGATAAATTTATTTACAGTTGAACTAAGTTAGTTTGGTATGCCTCCTAAAGGAAGTAAAAGTAAAAGGAGAAGTCAATTGCAAGATGCAAGAAATCGTCGCTGGTCAAATACAAAGACTTCGGATGAGAGCGACTCGTCAGGTGACGAATATGGCATGGATATTGATGATAAAGAATTAAATTTTAGTGAAAAACTTTTGTTAACCGACATTGGTGATCTTGCTGAAATGTGTAAGTCGAAATGTGGCACGAAATATCTAAGTACTTTGCTTTATATGACATTACGTTTCTTCAACATTAAATGGGAACATGTGGATGAATATTTGAAAAGTATTGGTTTCATGACCGCGCAAACATCACATAAATGGGCTGTAATGTTTATCAAAGGAGATTATGAAGAATTTTCAAGTGATTCACGCGGTGGAAAACATACTGACTCGTTCTATGATACGTTTCCCGAAATTGAAGCAGATGCTAGATCCTTCGTTGTTCAAGCATGTTCACAAAAGTCAGGAGATTTCAAAGCGATGGACCTGGCTCAGTTTATTGACACAAAATACTATGAAGTAACAGGAATTGAAAAACAAAGTGACGACGATTTGATAAGATCCGAAAGAAGCTGTCGTGTGGATCTTCGCAGATGGGGAGCTAAATTCGACGCGAATTCACAACGCCCATATTTTGAAGGACATGAAAGAGACGATGTGGTGAAACATCGTCATGAATTTATTAATCATTTTCTAACGCATAAAGACTTTTATTACACAATTACTGATGGTGAAACACCTATGTGGATTTTGCCAACCCAAAATCCTCACAGAATACTTATATGTGAGCAAAGCATTTCGAACTTTTTAAATACAGTTTATTGTTATTGTTTTCGTTTTTGTCTTATCTAGTTCATGATGAATCAACATTTAGAAGCGGTGAAGTTAGTCCAAAACGGTGGTTTTTCCAAGAACATACACCGTTTTTTTCAAAGGGACGCGGTCGTAGTCATATGGTTTCTGATTTTCTTGTTCAACATCCTAGTGGACCACTTTTTGGACTTAGTGAAAATGAATGGAAACAAGCTGTTCGGAAATATCAATCGTTAAGTGTTGATGGTGATGTTAATTATCTTGATCGAACAGCAACAGCTAGTATTAATATTGGAACAGACGCGTATTTTGATAACGATACGATCCTAGGACAGTTTGAACGACTATTTCAAATGCTAGAATTCAAACAAGAATACAAGGATAATCAGATAGAAATTATCGTGGACAACGCAAGAACTCACACTGCCAAATCATATTCATTACAAGACTTTGGTAAAAATGTTGGCACTCGTTGTCCTGTTGAACAAATCGAATATATTGATGAAAATGGTGCAACAAAAGTTGTTGATTGTTATTTTAAAGGAGGAGAAAACAAAGATAAATCAAAAGGTTTAGTTGAACTATGTAAAGATTTAGGTGTGCAGTTACCAGCTAAAATTAAATTAGACGAAATTCGTGAAATACTTTCAGCGCATCGAGCTTTCCGAAATGTAAGTGATAATCATTCCAGTCTTTTCAGCATATTCGATCTTATGTCGTTTATTTTGTTATTTAGGCTAAGGTGCCGGCAGTGCAAAATTCAAGTAAAAATTTTTTTTTTGCCTTTTTTTCACATCGCCCGATAGAGCTTGAGCTGCTGATCACGAATATCTACTTTTTAGGCTTAGTGAATGCTTTATTCCGGTCGAAAAATACGAAATACTCGGAGGATGTCGTTTTCTTCAAAAAACACATCTTATCCAAAATGTGCGAAATTTTCTGCTTCGTTC